CACAGAATCCTTCATAACTCTCAGAGTCACACAGACTCTCTTCAAAACTCTTCCATACTTGTCTCATATCACAGAATCTCCTCATAGACACAGAATCCTCTCAGACACCCCTCCTCCCACACTGCCAGCAGCCAATCAAATCACACTTGTCACCCTCTATCACTCTTCTCATATTACTGCAGTAAAACTAAACATTTAAAGGAACACACACACCAAAACATGGAATCATTACAACCATCTACTCCCATACAAACCTACCCAACCATTACATGGGTGCTTTATGGAGGTGAAAGGGGCTGGAGAATATACCACTGTGTTCTAGTCTATATCATCTATTGCTGCATTTATTGCACTGCTGTTGCTGCATTGTTTCTACTGATGTAATACTACTATTCTGCATTATATCTGCACTCTGGTTCATGTCTAAAAAGCTATGCTTGTTCAGGTATCTATAATCCTAGTAAACGCTTGGCCGGATGTCTCCTCATGTTTGTTTGTTTTAAATCTGCCCTCAAAGGGTAGAATTTTATTTGTTTTTTTCATAACAGACAAGCCGAACATACACACATATAACACAAACGGGGTATCAAATGCTTATGTTTCCAATAATTGCCTCTTAGATATTCTCTATCTAATACAATATCACGTATCATTATTTTCTATGAGCTCACATTTTTGTATCTTGAAACCAACATCCGTACCTGCTATCTCAATGTTCTAACCTATACTTTGCCCTAGGGATTACATTTTTAGGTTACAATCATTTGCACTATTATACCAATTATAGAAGCGCCTTCATGTGTTCTGGAAAGCATAGTTTGTGGATCCTCTTATCAACAAAGTCAATTTATCACTTTCCGCTGTTTCCATCAGTTTTGTATACATTTCCTGCTTTTTTGGTACATCTTGTGCCTTCCAGTATTTGGCATATAGCATTCTTGCTGCTGTAGTAAATAAAATATCTGTTGTTTTTTTCAAAGTCAATCCTCATGTTGATTGTATCAACTTGCACTGTGGAATCCACTTCAAGTTTTAGTGGGAAAGCCACACTGTAAAGTCTAAAATGCATTCCAATTTGGATGCTGGCTGTAATATAGCTGAGACACTAGAAGTGTCCAGTATACTGGCCCATTTTATGGATAATTTTAATCCAGTTTCTATGCAGATGTCAACAGGTTCTTTGGGTTTGTAGAGGCCATCCCTTGTTCTCTGAATCCTTGTCTAACTTGGTTGATGAGAACTTGTAAGGATCACATTTATAAATCAATCAATCACTGACTCAGGGCACCTTTCCATCACTTTAAAAAATCACTAGAGGAGAATGAAGTGGCCAATTATCCCCCATTCTCCGATCGGCCCTTTCTGGCCAGGATGATAGAGAAGACAGCTGCCGAACAACTCCGGCTCTTCCTGGAGGACACATCTGTTGTGAATGAGAGGCTGCTGGCCCTAAAACATGTACTTCTGTGCAAACACAGCCATGAAATCCTTATGTTGCAGGCTGGGAAGGAAACATACCCATTTTTGGAGATAAAACAGGTGCTATTGTCAGGAGAAAATGGACAGGTTTTACTATCACCAGGTGAAACCCTTGAAGATCAGTAGGGTAAAATATTGTGGGATTGGGTAATAAAGTTTTGGTAGATGTTGGATGCAGGTGACAAGCTACGGGTGTGGAACAGCAGTCACTGCAGGTGTGTGGGGGGGAGGTATTTGTGAATTTCCTGCATTGTGCAGGGGGTTGGACTAGATGATCCTAGAGGTCCCTTCCAACTCTTATGATTCTACGGACATTCCTGTCTAGGTGGCTCAGGGGTGGCATCTAGGAGTCTGGGGGGAAATCCTTGAGAAGTGGCAGATACCTGAAATCCCAAAGTCTTGGGAAGAGAAAAGAAATCCCATTAAAGAGGTGGGATTCCTGGGAGCCATAATTCCCACGGCAACTGAGCTGGCTTGGCTACTTGCTGTCTTACAGCACCTGGGGGAGGGAGAGCGGGATCCCTGCACAAATCATGATGATAACGTCTGTTCTTTCAGTCTGGTTTCACTGGGCTGCGGGGTGGAGAAAGCACCGTGGCATTAGCTGGTGATCTGTGTTTCCATGAAGACAAAGGCCGTGCCTCCCTCTGGACCCTTATTGGATTTATCAGCAGCCTCTGATGCTGTGGGCTACCTTGTCAAGGTGTCTGAAGTAGTGCTTGGGATTGGCTTAAATGATTTGGTATGTACCCAACTCAGTGGGCTGCTGGTGGACATCAATTATCACCAGTGTGGGACCAGATATCAGGCTGAGGTTTTCAGGGATGGTGCACTTCCCACATTTGATGGGGTCCAGCTGACACACACTGACTCAGTCAACAGCCTAAGAGTTACACTGGACTTAGCATTACTACTGGAGAAGCAAGTTAATGCAGCTGCAGAGAATTGCTTTCTTCTATCTTCATCTGGCCCAGAAGATGGCCCCTACCTTGACTCCACTGATCTGGCCATATGGATCCATGCCACAGTCAGTCACCTCAAAATTACACTGCTGTAAGGCACTCTTCGGCTTTGAAACGGAGATGAGCACCGCAACCCTAGCTCTTGAAGTCAGCTCAGGAACTCCAGTTGACCCAGAACACCATGGCTCAGTTGCTATCCATGCACATCACCCTCACTGTGCAGTCACTGCCTTGGATACTGATCCGTTGCTTGGTTCAGTTCCATAAACTGGTTCTCATCCACAGTGCCCTTAGTGGCCTTGGACCCACACACCTGCAGGCCCGCCTCTCCTGCTATGCTCTGTTAGGACAGCTTTGCTCATCCGAGTTCAGCCTTCTGGGAATGGGTGAAATAAATAAATAAATAAATCCAACAACTGCTCATACCTGGGCATGAGGCAGCTCCCACCTTCTGGAATAACCTGCCTGAGGGGGTCAGGAAGGCTCCCACAATTTTGCTGAGTTGTCTTCTACCTTTGTAATCCACTTGCTACTTGGTTTATGGTGTACCTTGCCTTAGACTGTTCTCTCTTTGCATCTATATACTATCAGCCACCCTACGGATAGCTAAATCCACAGATTGGGGCCATGTGGATGCTAAGCAGATATTTATGCAAACTCAGTAGACCCTTTAGGTTTGCAGAAAAATTTGACTTAAAAACAACAACAGTGGGTTTTTTTTAATTCCCCCTAAAATAAAAATACCTGAGGAAAAGTGTCAGCTACGCAGCAGGCTGGGCCTAACATTGGAGGCCTGGCAGGGACAACTGCTGGCTGCAGAGAAGAAGAAGAGGAGATTGGATTTATACCCCACCCTTCACTTGGAGTCTCAGAGCAGCTTACAAACTCCTTTCCCTCCCCCTCCCCCTCCCCACAACAGACACCCTGTGAGGTGGGTGGGGCTGAGAGAACTGTGACACAAACTGCTCTTTCAGGAACAGCTGTGCCAGAGCTTGTGACCGACCCAAGGTCACATCAGCAGGTGCAAGTGAATGAGTGGGGAATCAAACCCGGTTCTCCCAGATTAAGAGTCCGCGCGCTTAACCACTACACCAAACTGGCTGTGGGTGGGCAAGAAGACTCTGCCGGTTCTCCTGGAGCTACTCTGGGTGAGCTGCCCAGTGGCTATGGGGGGAGAGAGAGAGAGAGAAAATGCGAGGGGATGGGGCAGGGTGGCAGGGAGAGTGACAGGCAAGGGGGGGAAGGGTAAGAAAAGGGGTAGCAGGATGGAGAAAGAGGAGGAGGAGGAGGGAGGGGAGAAAACAAAATGCCCCTCTCTGCAAGTTTTTTGCAGGTCCCGACTTCTTATTTTCTGATGCCGTAGTCCTAGTCCTATTTCATTGTTTACTGGATGCCTTTTACTCCCTAATTGAATTGGGTTACTTTGTAATCCACCTTGACTCTCAGTGAGAAAGATCAACGGTAAATGAAGTCAATAAATAAGCATCAAGATTCATTACACGGCACAAACAGGATTTTCCAGTTTTATATCATTGATTTTTAATTGCCATTATTGAACAAGTACATCTTATGCTTTATATACATATAGATGAAATATTACTTTTTCAGTATCTGCCAATACATAATATATTATCTTCTTAATTCTAGCTTAAAAAACAGAACACAGAAGGAGAGGCTCCTGGTTGATTTTGTAGGGACATTATCAGATCTCTTGGGGTTGGGACACAAAGCTACTGAAATGACAGGACCTGCTACCAACCAACATAGAAGATTCAGGCAGATCCCAGTCTAGTCACCCTGGCTTGCCTGCTATCACCAGGCAGAGAGCCTGAGGAGGATAGGAAACCCTTTACAACCAACAGTGAAACAAAGATGATAGAAGGGTACAGATAGTTGTAGCAGCAGATAAGCCAAGGAATACAGGTGGGGTGGAGGAAGGTGATGAACAGCTGGGCATTTAAAGCATCAACTTCCTTGGAAAGCAGAAACTGGTCCCTGTTTTCCACAGACAGAATAGGCAGATATTAGAGGTGAGCCCATAACTTCACAGAACATCTACTTTCCTCCCTGACTAGTGGGGCCAAGTTCCCCTCTGCGGCTCTGGCATCAATAGCATGCAGAAGGGCTAAATTGTCAGCAGATTTTGCAAGTGTTCCAAAATCAGCTATCCCCCTTTCAGAAAGTACCGAGCCATGGATCACAGGGGATCCAGCTGATATGATAGGTTAATAATTACTGCTTAGTAGCATGACAGAAAACAAACACTGTATAGCGTACAAATCTAGAGCTCAGCGATAAAAATGGGTTTGTTTGTGAGAACATCCAGCAAAGCGAGTTCTTTTTGCAACCATTTCCAGCCTTCAGAGTACAAGGAAGGGGTGCAAATTCATACCTTCACAGCCACCTGAACACTTGGTGGGGGGAAAGGATTCAGAAACTATGAAGGTAATGGAAGTTAAAGACCTTTGCAGAGTGTGGTGTGAGAAAGAAAATTATGAAAAATTATTCTGTGATCCACTAATATTGCTTAGGGCAGTACGAATCTAAGCATTCTTGTCCGGGTACAAGGTCTCCCCCCCCCCCATGTCAGGGAAAGCAGCATGATGGTTCTGTCTGACATGCAGGTGGGCCCTGCTGTCACTATCCGCAGGGATGAAAGCAGGAAAATGTCTTACATGTTAACACTACTTACTCGGGTCCACTTCTCCAAAGTATGTTCAGTTTTCAGGAGGAAGTCACAGAATCAGGGAATTGGTGGATGCACACAAGGGCAAAGGCAATCCAAGCCAGGAACTATACCCTTCTCCTACCACAGGACTAAAAGGAGAAAATGTTGGTGGGGGGAAAGCCTGAGCTAGTTAGTCATGTGAAGATATTCCGAGAAAGCCATCTGCCCCAGGGAGAAAAGGTATCACCACTTGTACAAGATTGTTCCCTGAACTTTCATTTCTACCTTGTTTTTAGACACTAGTGTCCGGGGGAGGGGGGGGTCCAAGGTGTTCTGTACTCCTCAGCGACAGCCAATCTGCTCTGGCTAATAGGGCTACTCTTGTGGGAGGCCTGGAAGACAGAAAGGGAGCCGGCCCTGCTCAGGATTCTCCCCTGCCTCACAGCACAGCCTGAAGCTGCAGGGCAGATGGCTAGAGCTCCCCCTCCCCACAGGTTTCCCCAGGTTCAGTGTGAAATGCAAATGGAAATGTTAACAAAAGCAGGACTGTCCAAAACCACTTTTTCACTGAAGACCCAATGACAGCCGTTCACTCCCGTCACCTACGGAGCCACCGTGCGCCTGGGTCGCCAGTCCACTCCCACTTAAAAACTTCACAGTCCTTCAGAACTGCACCCAGCTGGATGACTGGGGAGACTGGCTGGGAACGCTACTGGAAGAAAGGAAAGAAGAGCATCAGCGGGAGACGGGGGCAGTCTCTGATGCCGGTGCAGTGTGCCTGCACAGAAATTGACATTCCTCTATGACCCTGGATCCATAAATCTTAGGGTCTGTCTACTCCCCGCTTAAGACCTTCCGTCTGGAGTCTGCTGGGAATCCCAACACTGAAAGGGGGGGGGGCCTGGGGTAAGCAGCAGATTTCTCTCCTTTAATTTTTAAAATATGTTTCGGGATTGATGTGCCATCTATGCTCCAGGGTCCCCAGGGGATCTTCTGCTGATGGGCCCACCCCCCCACCCTTCTCAGAGCTGGCTACCTGGATGCAGCACTGAAGTCTCCCCAGAGATCTGTGGTGGCCGGAACTGCGGCAGGGGCAGGCGCCGTTGGGATGGGAGGAGGCAAATCCAAGTCAAGCAAGATATCTGCAAGGAACAGAGGCACAGGTCCGCTTTGTTATGTCCTTCTCTCCACCCAATGCTTCCTTCCACAGAGCTCACGGCAGCTGAGATGGGTCTTCAGCACCTGCTTAGTTTCAACCCTGATGCTTCAGCCAGTGCCGCTAAGACCATTCACAGGCCAGGGAAACTGGCTGGGGGTGGAGCTGGAAGCTCTGCGACAAAACAGGTTCCCCACCTACTGTGGGAAGAGGAGGGCTGCGCAAAGGGGAGGCATTTGTAGGAATAAGGGGGTTTGCTTAGCCTTTCCACACCTGTGCCTTCTCTGCCACCATCTCCACAGGCACTTCCTGATCTCTCCCCACCACGACGACAGATCTGGCCCCCGGGCCGCATGTTTGACACCCCTGCTCTAGACAGACAGTAGAAGCCCCTGACCGGTGCCTGGAGGCGGAGAAGGCTGAAGGACAAGGATGGATGTATTGTTGATCAGACAGAAATATGAACCACAATGAGGTTTTCAACCAACCCGAATGGGTGCACTGTCTTGCTGAAGGACCCAGTTCAGTATCTGGGAGAACTTCTGGTTTCAGATCTGCCGGTGGCAGAAACAGACATGGGCGAATTTGACCAGCTGAGGCGGATTCACCTTTAGCAGCCTTTCCCAGAAAGTAGGGATGCAGCCATTTGTGCGACCAGGCACTTGAGGCCCCCGTTCCACCCACATGAGCCTGCCTGGGCCTTGAGAGCTGCCCTTGCACAAGCGGAAGGCAGGGAACATGCAGCGGGGCCTTCTTGGCTGTGGCCCGCAGACTCCGGAATTCCCTCCTCACCAGGCCCAGTTAGCTCCTTGCCTTTTGGCCTCCCAGAGATTGACAAGGTGACAGCTGAGGAGGAGAAACCATTCCCCGCCACAGTACCCATTCATTTATTGCCATTTTCAGATTGACTGTGGTTTGGGCTCCCCTAGTCCATTCATGACTTTGTGTCTTTTTACTTTGCTTTTATATATTTTTATTCCTAAACTGCCCTGCATACTTTTAATAGAAACGTGGAGTAAATTCCCAGCGTCCAGCAACTTTTCACTCACTGTCTTTGTGCACCCAGGAGCCTAACCCTTTGCCAGCACTGAAGAAGAAGAAGAGATTGGATTTATATCCCGCCCTTCACTACCCAAAGGTGTCTCAGAGTGGCTTACAAACCCCTTTCCCTTCCCCTCCCCCCAACAGACACCTTGTGAGGCAGGTGGGGCTGAGAGAGCTCTTGACAGAAACGGCTCTTTTTCAAGGACACCTCATGACAGAACTACGGCTTGCCCAAGGCCATCCAGCCAGGTGCAAGGGGAGGAGTGGGGAATCAAACCCGGCTCTCCCAGATTAGAGTCCGCGCACTTAACCACGACACCGAACTGGCACTGAGCCAGGAGCGGAGCTTTCTGCGCAGCTCTCAGAGAAGGACTCAAAGCGCTGGCAAAGGGCCAAACCCATGCCGGGCCCAGCAGCCTCCACCACTGGGCTGCCGGTGAGGAGAAAGGCATTCGGAGGGGCTGCCACAATTCCACCGGATCCAGGCAGTCCAAGTTGAGAGGAGGGATAGGGGCAATGTGAGACTTCCTCTCACCAGGCACCTTGGTTGGAAGAGCGCTGCACCCAGGGGCACACCCAGAGAGCGCGCTCCCGACTGGCTGAGCTTCGGCAGGCGCTTTCAGACACATCTCTGCATCTCCCTCAGGACACTGAGAACAGCCTCTTTCTCCACACCAGAGCCAGTCCCAAATCTCAGGGCTGCTTTACCTGGAACGTGGTGGCAAACGTTTAGCAGGCGCCATTCGCACAGGAAGCAGGAATCTAGGTCAAGCTGAAGCTCCCTGCGGCAGGAGTCCTCCTCACTGGGGTCCCTACGGGCACCGTGGGGCCCACCGGCACCTTCCCTGGCACCTGCCCAGTGCTTTAGAAGGGGGGGGGCTTTGGCCCAGCAAGGACATGGGAAATTTGATTGGCTGCACAGATTTTTTAAAATGTCACTCTGACAGCAGCTGCCAGCACAACAAAAGGATCTTCAGGGTGTGACCCAAGGGAAGCCACGGCGGCCTTTCTGGGCCTGACTCCACCCCCTGCAAGCAGCTATTTTGTGGCTGTGCCCGCCACCACATTGTGTCAGAATGCCAAAGATGCCCCCAAGCGCAAAAAGGTGGGTGACTCCTGCCCAGCAGGGCCACAGAGTCCACTTGACGGCGTCAGGAGAACCTGAGAACAAGGCTCACCCCACTCTTGGCCCCGGCTCCGATCGTCTCGGCTATTTATGCTTACAGGACTTGGTTTTGTCCCGTCTTTTTTGTATTACAGTTACACAAAATATTTATAGCCCGCCTTGTCTCCTCAGAAAAGACGCGTCGAGGCAGCTGACAGTGAAGCAAAAAGCACCAGACAGCCAAAAGCCCAGCCCAGCCCTGCCACAGCCCTCCGGCCCGGCCCCTGGTGATTACCTGCGTGGCCCGCATGGCTGGATTTCTGCACCGGGGGTGGGGTGACGTGGTTGGAAATGGCCGCCAGGGGAGGAGGTGGGACAGAAGGGGGGGCTGCTTTGCCCCCCGGAGGCGGTGGGAGCAGGCTTGGCCCTCCTGGTCCAGCTGGACGTGGCTTGGCTGCCCCGCCTTTCCTCGTTGGCATGTTCTGCAAAGAGAAACATCAAGCATCAAGGGGAATCCTCCTCAAATAGAAGGGGGGGGGGAATCCCCCTGACTCTCAAAATGAGCCTCTCCACAGACTGCCAGTCAGGGACCGAGAACAATTGGACTCTCACCCCGATATTCAATTTAATGGTCTGTCCTTCCTTAAAACCGAGGTCCAGCTTCGGACGGCTGTCAGTTTCCTGGGACTCCTTGGAGATTTCGGTCTCTTGTTTCACCCACCTAGATTATGGAGAGAGCGGCAAAGAAACACACTAGCACAGGAACAAGGCAGCAGGAAGACTAACTGCAAAAGGCACGAAGGATACAAGAAAAAGCTCAACAAGGATCTCCTGGCAAGTCCTCTGATATTCTGGCTCCCTTTCCATGATACTGGAGACGAGAAAGCCCATCCCTTCTGAGTACACCACTCAGTTTTGCATTCTGCCCGTCTTCCAAGAAGCACAGAGGAAGCTGACTTGAGGCTGCCTTGTTTTATCTCATCAGGTAGGTTAGGCTGAACTCAGTACCAAGGTTGCTCCCCTCAGTGGTGAATGGACAGGATCTTGGTAAAGGGGTTGCTCCTTCCATTCACTCCACAGGCAAGGCTATGCAAACTATTCAGATTCCATTTCCCATTCTGGTGGGAGAAGCCCATCGCTGCCACCACCCCCTCAAGCCGTAATGCAGAGAGAGCTCGTCCAAAACAATAAGATTAATGTGACAAAGAATGGTGTCCAACTATAAGGAAGTGCAAGAGTACAAAGACAGGGTAGAGGACTTCCCCAGGGAAAAGCTACGGCTTGCTAAGCCCCCAGGAAGCCAGCATGCAACCCTTTTGTGTCCCAAGAAAAAACAGCGAGTTCATCCAGGCAGGTCAGATACCTGCCAACCACCATCGAGAAATCCTCATGGTAAGTCCAATGTTTTGTCAACCCTTTGCTGGAAGAGTATCCTGCTAAGAGATGGTGAGTTGCGCATCCTGAGTGCACATCTCACTGATGGAACAACAGAGGTGGGTGGAGCCCTGTCTCCCGAAGGCTGCCTGGGAGGAGGCCCAGGCATTGTGCCTGCAGAGTTTCACAGAGGAGGAGGAGGAGGAGGAGGCTGCTGGTGCCCGGATGGCTGCCCTTATAGGGAGCACTTGTCCATCGTTTCCTGGTACTTTTTGAATCCCCCCACACACACACACACACATGGAGGATGAGCTGAAGGAGGCAACTATGGAATCCAATGCATGGATTCAACTGTTTGTCCAGTTGCTCTATGAGCCGATGACATTGCAATTGAACAAGAAATTGGTACTGGATGAGCCCCTCTATTTAAAAAAAAGGTGGCAGAATTCTGCACTGCTGCACTGCTCCCTCTAAGCTGTGGAGTCCTGTGAGCAAAAATTCTACTTTGTGAGCTACTACGAGAGCCAGTTTGGTGTAGTGGTTGAGTGCACGGACTCTAACCTGGGAAAACCGGGTTTGATTCCCCACTCCTCCTCCACTTGCACCTGGCTGGATGGCCTTGGCCAAGCCATAGTTCTGATAAGAGCTGTTCTTGAAAAAGAGCAGTCTCTGTCAAGAGCTCTCTCAGCCCCGCCTACCTCACAGGGGGTGTCTGTTGTGGGGAGGGGAAGGGAAAGGAGTTTGTCAGCCGCTCTGAGACTCCTTTGGGTAGTGAAGGGCCATGGGGTATAAATCCAATCTCTTCTTCTTTTACTGGCATTAAAGCTGTGAGCGAGCGATTTGGCTACTTCATAAATTAGTTTGCTCTGGAGCCCTCCTTCCTGAGCTAAGACAAACGTGTGAGCCGGAGGCTAAAAATACTGTGAGCTAGCTCACACTAACTCAGCTTAGAGGGAACACGGCTGCTGAGTATCCTGAACACTGAGGATAGCAAGCCTTTCTTTGGTTTGGCCCAGCAGTTACCCAGGTTCATAATGGCAAATTGGGCTGCCACTCTGTCAGCTACTTCATCTCCTTTAACTCCAACATACCCAGGAAATCTACAAAAAACAGTATAGTCTAGGTGACAAAGAGCTTCCAACAAATCCCATGTCAATACTGAACTGTAGGAGCGGATGCATCTGACACGCACGTTCAAGTCACACAACCTTCTGCGAACAGCACAGCTTGGAGTCCTCCTCACTGCTGTTTAGAGCTCCTCCCAAGCGTCCTGAGAACTATAGGCAGCTTCTGATTCATAAGTGCCATGCACTGAAAAATGACCTATATGCAGTTACTGATATCCTTCAGGTGGTGTTTTGACTCACAAAAGCTGGGTAGGTCAGCAACAGACCCAAAGAGAGCACCTGGCCCGGGAGGCATAGGTGATGTTATTGAAACACTATTATTCTGTCACAGTTACAACTGGAGCAGAAGAGATTCAAGTCTAAGAGCAAAAGCTGGAACTGAACTTTGAGCTCCAGAAAAGCTCTTGCGCAACACAGCAAAGATACTGTCTCAAGACCGGCAGCCAGGTAGGGACCACAAGCAATGCAGCACGTTGTGCACCGCACCCGTTACACAGAGGGTCAAATGCTTCCACCCCTGGGTCAGGCACAGGGGTTTCCAATGCATATAATGAGCTCCTCCTGGAGATACAATACAGTCTCCACTCAAAAGTAACACCAGGCCGTGATTCCACTGAACTAAGGTTACAGAGCCAGAATGCAAGACACTCCATTAATTATGGTTAATTAGGGTTCAGCAAACCAGGATGTGAAACTGAGACATGAAGCTGCTGTATTAACCACTGTCAGTCTTAACTATGGCTTCACACGGCATACGAAGGTGGGATCTTGGCTTAGCCTTGCCTTTGTTTCCCTTTGCCTCTCCCCCGTGACAGAAGCACCTGGCAGGAGCAGCCCGAAGAGAGAACCCTCTCACCTTTCTTCCCCTCTTGTTCGCCTCCCTGGCCAAACCTGTGCGGCCCGGCCAGCTGTATAAGTGCCACGCCAAGAGTGCCAGGGGTATTTTTGTTGTTGTTTGGGGAGGGTTGCATTTCTGTGTGTGCATGCGCAGGTGTGTGCCTGTGCCTGGAAGTCATGGAGACCTCTGGCGACTCCTACTGGGGAAGTGGCATGATAGCCTGCCTCCGCCTCCTGGCCCTGGTCTCCCATCCAAATACTTGCCAGGGTCGGCCCCGCTTCGCTCCCGAGACCTTGAGGAAAGCAGGCTTGCCTGGGCTGCCCAGCTCAGGGCTAAAGGGTGCCAAAGATTCTGAAGAGGAATCCCCCACTCCTACAGAGCCACGGGCCCATCGTAAAGGGGAGGGGGACTTCCAGAGGATTTTCCTTAGTCAGGCACGGCAGTGGTGGCTGGCATAGCACCTGCCTCTCTGTAGGGAAGGTGAGGCAAAGAGTGTGCCAACTGCAAGACGAACTGTGGTTTCACAAAGTAGCTACAGTTAATGCAAGCCAAGGCTTCATGCTACATTCAAACCAAGGCAGGGTCCAGTTTCTTTAAAGCTGGCATTCTTGAAGAATTAGACACCTGAAAGCCAACAGCAGAAGCCAGTGATGTAGTGGAGCCAGTTTGGGGTCATGGTTAGGTGCGCGGACTCTAATCGGGGAGAACCGGGTCTGATTCCCCACTCCGCCACTTGCATCTGGCTGGATGGCCTTGGGCAAGCCGTAGTTCTGATATGAGCTGTTCTTGAAAAAGAGCAGTTTCTGTCAAGAGCTCTCTCAGCCCCACCTACCCCACAGGGTGTCTGTTGTGGGGAGGGGAAGGGAAAGGAGTTTGTCAGCCGCTCTGAGACACCTTTGGGTAGTGAAGGGCCATGGGGTATAAATCCAATCTCTTCTTCTTCTTCTTCTTAATCTCTAACCTGCCCCCCTCCGGAAAAAAAAAAGAACAATGCCCTGATGGATATTCCCCTCAAGCTCAAAAGCTCTGGAATAAGCAGAGCTGCTGCATGAGGCTCCCCAAGAAATCCTCGAGACAAGCAGATGCCCAGACCTGCATTCTTCCACAGACCCTCTGCAGCTGCTCTTGCTGTGGATGAGACCCCCCCCCCCCCCAAGGCTCAGACACTCTTCCCCCCTTCCCTCAGGGCTGGGCCTCAAGACTTGGGAAGTCTGATCGAATCATAGGATGTTTTGACATCCAAGTCCAAGTGCTTCAAAAATGATTTCTTGTCTGCAAACCAGGACTCTAAGACACATTTTAATCCTAGTTGGTGGTGTACAAACCAATCCCAAATTGTTGAAATGTCTGGATTCAGATGTCACATTAAGTTGTGCTTCTACCAAAAAACTTCCCAAACCAGACATTATTAGTGAGGGAGCATGCAAGCCTGAGAGACTTCAAGCTCACTCACAAAAGAATTGTGGCTTGTTTGTGATATCTCAATGTATATATCCTTATCCAAGTCTCCCAGTGATGTGGTGCTGGTCCTAAATAGCTACCCGGCTGTTGTGTTAAAAGTGAACAAACTGAAATTAAACCCTGAAAAGGCAAAGATCACGCTGGCTGGGAAGGTGGGGGTCTTGGAGGACACTGCGTCCTCCCCACTTTTTGATGGGGTTCAACTGACCCTTGTTGACTCAGTTAAAAGTCTTGGGGTTATGCCGGATTGAACACAATTACTGGAGAAGCAAGTTAAAGCGGTTGCAAAAAAGGCTTTCTTCCAACTCTGCCTAGCTTGTAGGATGGCCTCTTATCTTGATATGGCTGACCTGACCACCAGAATTTTTTTTAAAACTGTCTCGAATGGCAGATTTTTATTGAAATGTTCACATGTATGTATTTAGTGATCTTAATATTTTTCTTCCATATTTGGTCCCACTGCTCCAAGTTAATATTATGCCCAATATTCTGCACCCATTGAATCATATTCCCTTTCACTATCTCATCCAACAATAAATCATCAAGTAAAAGTACATAAAGTCTTCGTATAAGGTTTAGGTCCGTGGATATAATAACCTTTTCAATCTCTAACAAGTTTTTATAGAATCCAATTTTCTTATCTTTGGTAAATCTAGATTCTATTTGCGCTCTTTGCCACCACTGTAGATCCTCAAGTAATTTCAGACGGTCATCCGAGTCTAGTATATCCAGGTATCTTCTCTGTGTTTTTTCCTGGAAGTGTAATAGCTGGAAGCATTTGGAAGTGTAATAGCTTCTAGTGGGACAATCAGTTTTGAGTTTTTTGTATAGAACCGGTTATGTATATTTTCCCAGACTTTCATTAGGGATGCCCGTATCCAGTGTTGCTTAAAATATTTATGTGTACTTGCCTTTCCATAC